ACCTTGTGTTTAATGGGCAAACTCCATTTAACTAAATGGAAACTAAATCTGTGGGATCCTGAAATTTTGTTTGGCAGCCAGAGGAATCAGCCAAATCTGAGTAGCTCAGTTCCTGGAAGAGACCAGGTGGCTGTGCCCCTCTGGCCCACTCTAGGATCTCAGTCCCTTGAGACACTGAGAAGCATCCAGAGGTCACTGTGACCAGCTGGGCTGCCAAGGCCCAGACACCACATGAGTCCACCACCCATACCCACAGCTCTGGGAAGAAAGTGGGCAGGTGCCTCAGAGCTGCTCAACCACTGAGTCCTGCCGAAGCATCTGAGTGTCACAAGGTAACTGGTGGGCACTGTGCAAGGTTACCAGGCACACCACTGTCTCTTTCCCACACCACCTACACAAACCAAGGAGTATGGTTCACATGGGCCATGCCTGGAGCTGCTGGAGATGCCGACCTAAGAGACTGCGGTCCTAAGTGCCACATTATTCTCAGCAACCTAAAGGTGAGCTACTGAGACATCTGTGGGTGCAGCCAACACTGATGACAGCTGGAGAAACTGCACAAGGATGGTGCTGGTGCACCTGCTTCCCACTGACTGTCACCCTGGGACACCACTCCAGGAGGAAGTCTTTTACCACAACACAGATTTGCAAAGGATAACCCAACTGACCACCACATGGGAAAATATCAACAGGGAGACAGGAGAGAAACATGAGTATCAAGCAGGAGATCTATTTCCTATGAATACAATGGAAAGACAATGAGGTCTATGACTACCTAAAACAAAATGCGAAAAATGGCTTTTAAAGAAACTCTAAAGAGCAGAATACAAAAGAATACAGCAACACAGCAAAACTAGAAAAATTTATGATTTGAATGAGAACTTTAGCAAACAGATTCTCAACACTAAAAAAGGAAGAGAAGAAGCTTTGAAGCAAAGAACTTAACAAATGAAGGAGTTCTGAGCCTCTACAACAAGAGATGAATCAGAAGAAAGGGTTCCTGAGCACGATGACCTGCCTTGTGAAAGGAGATAAAGAAAGCCTATAAGACACATGGAATCTCATTAAATAAACAGTATTTACATTTTCCTTGTTTCATAGGTGGAAAAGAATGGAAAAGGCATAGAATAATCCACATAATAGCGGGCAATATTCCAAAACCTTAAGAAAGGTACAGATATCCCAGTGCAGAAAACTCAAAGACCAGAAACAGAGGCCGGAAATGAGGGCAAATGGTGTCAGCAAGGCATATAATCATAAAATTTTCAAAGACCTAGACAAGCATTCTAAAACCAACAAGAGAAAAGCATTAAGTCACAAATAAAAGAACTCTCGTTACGCTAACAACAGAGTTCCATCTAGAAACTTAACAAGCCAGGAGTCAATAGGATGGCATATTAAAGTCTTGAAAAAATAAAATATCAAGCCAAGAATACTTTACCCATCAGACAATCAGAAATCAGAAAAAGGAATTCATATGAGTTCAGCCTTGATTGGGAATTATACGTAGAAATGATAGGATACAACCACTACTCTAGTTACACATGTGAGCTGGTCAGTGGAGCAATTTCCAAGAGATCAAAGAAAATACATGGAGAGAGCTTTTGTGAGAGTTTAGTTTTATAAAGACTCACAAACACATTAACTTGAAAGCAAGCCTTAATTGCAATGTATTTTTTCTCACTGAATTTTATGGATCATTTTTAATTTTTTTTTGTTTGTTTGTTTGTCCTGTTTTTTAAACTGTTCTTTAGAATTACTATTCTTTTATCTTCCTGATTCATTGAAAGAAATGAGAGTTTATTTTAAAGAGAAAAAAGCAACACAAACAAAAGACACAAACCATACACACACAACCCCAAAATAATAGCAATATAGGATTTCAAGATAAGATGATAGGAATTTAACAATGGTTGCTATATTGCATATTGTTATTGTCAAAAGAGTGGCTCAGATTACCAGATATAGGCATGCAACATTGATCAAACAACATGAGCACTAACTGTTCCTTTCTTTGAACTAATAAAATTGGTAGTACAATTATCTTAGCTAATACACACACACACACACACACACACACACACACATGCTCAAGAGAAATCAGAACTCTTAAACAGAGTTTTAAATTGTGTTTTAATAGATGATTGTTGTCTGCATGTTAATATTCATGGTTGTATTAAATTGTGTTTTGATAGATGGTTGTTGTCTGCATGTTAACATTCATGGTTGTAATTCTACCATCTAAATGCAGAGCTGAGGACTGATCCTAGCATTGTGCATAGGTTGAGTGGGATGCAGCCTCGGTCAATATCTAGTGCAAGGATTACTACCACTTACTAACAGGATCTCCACATAATGGCAGAGCCTCCTATTCCAATTGACCTACAAACTTCAATACAAAAACACAAGAATCCCGAGGAAACAAATAACAATGTGTCTCCAAATATTCAGAACACCATGAAAGCTGACCTTACAGACTTGGAAGTAGATCAAACTTCAGAGAAAGAACCAAAAACTATTTAAAATTGTAGAACAGATCAAAGAAGTGGCAAGTAGCTGATTAAACCATTATAAGACATTCAGTGAGCCTAAAGAAGATACAGATAAACAGCCAGATGGTACTAGGGAACACAGTGCAGGACACAGAAGATACAAAAGACCTTTTCAGAAATGTATTAGAGGTCATGGAAGAAATCAAGCACAAATCCTGGAAATAAAAAAAATAAAGCACAATTTTTGGCAGTAGACAAAATCTGTCAAAATATAGAATACCAGGAGTTCAGTACATGGTAAATAAAGCAGAACAAGTAACTTAAGGATCATGAATAAAGCAATAAGAAAAATTTAAAAATTATCTCAATCTCTGGAAAAACAGAATAAGGACAGGAGTCTGTATATACCTTTCAACTAGAATGCTCAGTATAAATGATTTTAAGTCTTCAAGAAAAAGATACAAAGTGGCAAATTGGAAAAAAAAATAAGACTTGACTCTATGTTGTCCTGAGAGGTACATCTCATCCACAGGAAGACACAGAGACTGAAGGTGAAAGGGTGGAAAATGATATTCCTAGCAGATCCAGAGCCTCAAAGCAGGCAGAAGTAGCTATTCTAATTTCTGCCAAAGTTACTTGGTTAATTCTGAAAGTTGAAATGCAAAGCCTCCTCTCACCACAGTGCTTCAAAGGCTCCACATGGGTTGTCAGGGAGGTACTGGGAGATGCAATAACTCGCCCTGACAGTGCCATTGGCACGGTAGGCCTGTGTCTGTGTCCTTTGAAAGCAAAAGAGAACAAGGCTGGGACCCCACAATCACAGTTATTTCATGCCATGATCCCTAGATTCACATGCAGGAACCCCTAGAGGACAACCTCAGGGGCGGGAACATCCAGTGGGCTTCTCCATGGGCTCCTGACATAGCCGGGGTTCCTGCCACCCCAAGAGAAGGGAGATAATGAGACAAAGTGGTCACTGCTCTGTGGCTCCTGGGAACAGGGAGTTGCAGTCCCAGTGCAGTGCAGAGCCAGAGCCTCCATAATTGGCCATTGGAGACCCCAAGTCCCCGTCCTACCAGGTACACAGAATCCTCCAAGCAAGCATCCTACAGACACAGGGTTTCCTGTGCTATCCAGCTGATGGGAATGGAAGAGGTGGTCCTTCCTTTATTACTCCACAGTACCACGAGCGGGACAGGACAGCCAGTCTCAGTGCTGACCTGTGCACTGGCCTTCTCACACCTCTGCTCAGGACACAGAGGTGCTGCAGAGCTCCTGAGGTGACAGAGACCTCTGTATCCACCTCAACATCCTCTGCACAGAGCAGATCGGGAGTTCTCAGACCTGGAGAGGAGTTGAGAGCTGTGTGTACTGAGCAAGTCCTGTGAGGTAAGAGCAGCTCCCTCACTTGTCCTCTTCCAGGAGAAGGACAAGATCACAGGCACAGGGACACAGCCCTGCACAGGCTTCAGGGTGTACATCGGGAACCACACTGCCAGAGCCTCCCAGAAGCCCCCAAGAGGAGGCAGAGCACCCCATAGCCCTCCCCACCGGGGTTCCCACTCAGCAGCTCCTAACTCCCTCTTGATGACCACCAGAAGATCAGGCTCACCCTCTGGGACACCCTTGCACATCTGTGCTGAGCAGAGACAGGGAGGAGAAAGGGATGGGAGCTGGGTGCTGGTCAGGGCAGAGCCCTCCAATGTCTGCCATCTAAAGGGAAAGAGCCAGGCCCCCTCCAGCCCCAACTCAGAGAAGAGCAGCGAACACATCCAGCAGAGGCTGCAGGGTGGGGCTCCTGCACCTCCCCAGCGCTCAGGGAACAGCCCTGAGGTTTCTCACAGCGCCAGGCTGAGCCCCAGTCTCCCCATGACCTGAGTGACTTGTAGGGACCTGCAGGAAGTCCCTGATGTCCTCCAAGAGGCAGGATCACTATAGGCTGAAAGTCACTGCAGTCCAGGTTCAGAACACAGCTGCAGTGGTCAAGCTCAGTGCTTCAGCAGAAAGGACAGAGACTTCTTCCCAGCATGGGCAGGATTTAACCCCAGAGTGTGTCTGGTAGGGATGTGGAGTGATGACACCACTCAAGGTCTGGTACAGGAGGTGCTCACCACCATTTGCACATTAGGGAGTGAGAAGCAACATCTGGGGTGATTGGGAGGCATCCGGGAGGCCAGTGCTCCTTTCCAGAAGCATGCCTGAGGACAGGAGAGCAGCTGGTGAGAAGCAGGCACAGGGACATCATGATGCCTGTCACTGACAACCACCCAGCTCTGGACTCCTCATCACATCCTCAGAGCATGACTCAGTCTTGTAGCCAGCAGGCCCTCAGCCCAGACTCAGGATTTAAGTAAATCAGAGACAATGTCCCATTTCAGATCTCATCTGGAAGAACAGAGGCCCTAATGGCTTCCTGGCCAGTGAGCACCCTTGCCCCTAAGGGTCCTTCTGCCCCATGTGAGGTGTGAATGTGGGGCCGTGAGCTCCTGTTTGCCACTGCCTCCCTCATTCTCTCTCCACAGTTGTCAGACTTGAGGCCATGATAATGCACAAACCTGAGAACGTCTCAGCTGGTCCCTGGAGGGAGTTTGTGCTGGAGGGGTTCAAGGGAGGTGTGGAGACCCAGGCCCTGCTCTTTGCTGTCTTCCTGGCCCTGTATGTGATGACCATCGTGGGCAACCTCACCATGATCGTCGTCATCACCCTGGATGCCCGCCTGCACTCCCCCATGTACTTCTTCCTCAAGAACCTGTCCTTCCTGGACCTCTGCTACTCATCTGTTTTTGCACCCAGAGCCCTGAACAACTTCTTCTCATCCTCTAAGGTCATCAGCTTTGCAGGATGTGCCACCCAGTTGTTTTTCTTCTCCTTTCTTGGTACTACTGAGGCTTTCCTGTTAGCCGTGATGGCCTATGACCGCTTCATGGCCATCTGCAGTCCCTTGCGTTACCCTGTGACCATGTCCTCCATGATGTGTGCCCGCCTTGTGCTGGGCTCCTACTGTGGAGGCTGCCTCAACTCCATTGTGCAGACCAGCCTCACGTTCCAGCTCCCCTTCTGCAGCTCCAACCATGTCAACCACTTCTTCTGTGATGTGTCCCCCCTGCTGCACCTGGCTTGTGCTGACACGGCTCTCAATGAGCTGGTCATGTTTGGCCTCTGTGGGTCCATTGCTGTGGGTGCTATAGTAACTGTCCTGGTGTCCTACGGTTACATTACAGTGACTGTCCTCATGATGCATTCAGGATCCAGAGCACAAAAGGTCTTTTCCACCTGTGGCTCCCACCTCACAGCTGTGTGCCTGTTTTATGGAACCCTCATTGTCATTTATGCACAGCCAGGGGATGTGGAGTCCACAGAGCAGGGCAAGGTGGTCTCCATCTTCTACACCGAGGTCATCCCAATGCTCAATCCCCTCATCTACAGCCTGCGGAACAAGGACGTGAAGGATGCCCTGTGGAGGCTGGGACAGAGATGGGTGACCCGGTGAAGAGAGTAGCTAGAGAACACACTGTCCTGGAGGATCTGGGGATAGAGGGGAGGGCACTGAATGTTTCACCGTATGTCACAGAAACAGTATGTGGGTTCTGAATGAACCTTGCTCAACTACGATTTTTCTTACTTCTTCCCATCCTTCCATCCAGCTTCTCTGCTTCCTCAAAGCATGTCATTAACCAGACTTTTACCAAATGGAAGTCTTTTTAACCACAGAAGTGATGGTCCAGGAATAGAACAAACCGAATCCCATCCCCTCTGGTAACACATTGAGCTGAGATTGATCACAGAGCCCTCGATATGGGAACCAATGTCGGCATCCTCCGGTTCAGATAGAAGGGTTTCACCTTCCAGGTGTCTCCCCTTTTCCTCACCACTGGATCTAATATCAGTGCCTCTAGGAAACCCTACACTGAGCGCCCTACAGAGGGACACTTAGAAATTAACATGTGACACCCTCACGTGGCATGGGCCACTGTGCCTCATGCAAGGCAGCTTCTTTCTCCCTTCAACACACTGGCTGCACCTGCTGCTCTGTGTTCCTGACACCGTGAGTCCTGCAGGGCAGCACGGTGTCCCTGCTGCCACTTGACAGCCTGTCAGACCCTGGGCGCTCTGACATCTGCTCAGCCCCCACCGTGGGGCTTCCTGGCCCCCAAACCCATCTAACCCAGCCTGGTTGCTCTTTTTTATGGAAAAAAAAGTTAAAACATATTTTCATAACAAAATGATAATAGAATAACAATAGTTAATATACTACACATTATCTTTAAAGTAGTTGCTCAGGGTACAAAACATCAACATAAAAATTTCTCCAGTCAATATTCGCAAACACCTTGTTTTTTAATGAACTAAAAGACACTAAGAGTGTAACCCATTTGTGCTTCTTTGCTTTTCCCTACTGTTCTTTCCCCTTTTGTCCCTCCTAGTTCCTTAGCCAGGTTGTTCTTGGCCATGGCAAGTGGTGCTCTCTCCCTGATGAAGTTGGAGTTGAAGCTGTGGTATATTTAGCATAGAAAAGAGCGGGGAAAGAATAGCATCATTTCTTGGTATTCAGTTCTTGTGCTGACCCCATTCTGTCCAGCACTGCCTTCGAGGTCGGATCCACAGCCAGGATAAACCTCTGCACTCCACACCCATGCCCATGCCTAACTCACACCCTAGACTCAAGTCCTGTGGCTTCCTTCATGCATGTCTCTTTGCTAGAGCTAACCACTGCATGGTCAGCACGAGGGTACTGTGCTCTTCCTGTGGGGAGGTCGATGTCTCTAATAGCCATCCTCAGTCTTCCTGCTCTCCCTTCTCTGGACATCTGTGGGAAGAGAATGTAAGTGCTCCTGCCCAGTTATCTCTCTAAACATTCTCCAGATTTCATCTCCTCTCTTCTACCCATCCTGCCCCAGCACTGAGATCTCCAAAATATAGTTACTGTTTGCTATAGTACTTCATGTACATCTGATATAAATTACTCTTTGCACCAATGAGTCCCCCAATGTGTGACCTAGATCAACAAATACTTTCTCTTCTGGTGCCAAAGCCATGGTCTCTTCTTCCATCTCCACCTTCATCTCTGCATATCTGTACAGATGCGTGGACACGCACATATAAGGCTTGAAAAAAGCTGTATCTTTGTCTCAAACACAATCTCAAATTGGATACAGGAAAAATTTTGTTTTTCTTTAACAAAAGTAGAATTATCCTAACTCTCCCATTGGGCAACTTGACTCTCCACTTTTCTTATTTACTTTGCTTTGCAGAAATTTTTAGGTTTATACCATAGTTCTCTTTATCAGTGTTTTGTTTGTTGTCTATCCTTTTGGTGTCATACCCACAATATCGTTGCCCAAACTCATGTCATGAATCTTTCCCTTATTTTCTTCTAGGAGTTCTACATTCAGAGATTTTCTGTCTAGGACTTTAATCAATTTTGAGCCAGGTTTTGTATATGGCATCCAAAAGACCCAAGTACAATATTTTCCATGTGCATATCTAGTTTCTGAAGCACAGCTTGTTGAAGAAATTGTCCTTTCAAATTAAATGGTCTTGACAGCCTTGTGGAACCTCACATGATCATGCATATCAGGAGTTATTTCCAGGTGCTCTTATTTTATTCTGCTGATCTATATGTCTCTCTTAATACCAGTACCATGATATTTTGTTTTGTATAACCTGCAAGATGTTTTGAAAACAATAAGCATTAGATCTTCAAGTTTATTGTTCTGTTACAAGCTGTTCTGATAGTTTGGTGTCTCTTAAGAAGCCCCATGGATTTTAAGATGAAATTTTCCTTTGTGGAACAGAATGTCAGGGAACATTAAAACAGGTGGCACTGAATCTGTGGGGTGCTGGTGATATCTGTGACCCAGAGAGCACCCTGAGGAACTCCATGGAGCATGGAGGGCTGCTGACCGTCCTCTGCCCTAGTAGCTGAGGAAATCAGGCTTCCTGCCTCCCTATAGTAGGGAAGATGATGAAACAAAGATTGGCCACAGCCCTGCAGCTCCTAGGACTCAGGGAGTTGCAGTCCCAGCCAAGGGCAGAAGCCAGAGCCTCCCTAATTGGCCACTGGAGGCATCCAGTCCCGGTCCTGCCAGCTGCAAAGAATCCTCCCCTCAGTCAGACCCAAGTACAGAGCGTCTACAAGCTGCCCAGGTGATAGGGGCAGAAGAGGAGGAGAGGGGAGACAGCCCTGTCTCCCTCATTCCACAGACACCCAGGAATTCACTGCTTCCAGAAGAGCTCACCAGGATTCTCACTGGGACCCCAGGTGCTGAGCTCTGCCCAGGCCACCTCACACCTTTTCTCAGGACTCTGTGTTGAACTGCACAGGAGCCCGAAGCCCTTGGTGTCCACCTCAGAATCCTCGGCACAGAGCAGGCTTGGGGCACAGGCACTTGGAGAGGATGTGATGGCTGTGCATCCTGGGTGGAGTTCTTAAAGGTAAAATCGGCACCTCGGGCTGTCATCTTCTAGGAAAGAGGAGTCCCTGTGCATACAGGGGCAGCAAAGCTCTGTGCAGTAGCCCTCGGGCTTGCTTTCAGGGTAAGGTTGAGCCCTTACCCTTTTTGTCCAACCTTCACTTCGATGCCAGGTCAGTGAGGTTTGCACCTCTGAACCAGAATCCTGAGCTTGCAAACAAACCCTAGGGCACCTCGCTAACCAAGGCTTTGACTCTGCTTCACCTCCTATTTCTACCAGCTCACAGGTGAGGGTGACGCTGCTCACATAGGGCCACACTATACATGGGAGGGCAGGGAGAACAGTAAGGACAGGGGACCCATGACAGTGAGAGTCACCCAGCTCCCTAGGGGCACAGTGCCTGCCTCAGGCCATGGCTGGAGGATCATCCACAGATGGGCACGACTGCAAGCTGGGGAGACCCTGCCTGTCCCTCTTCCCACACAAGTCAATGAATAAAATCTGTGATCAGAGTTGTTACAACCAATAAATTTATATCAAGAGGAATTGGCAAGAGTGATGCACACAACACAATTTCATTTAAACCCTTACATCTGACTACTTAGTGTATCAGGAAGACAGCCAGCCCTGCTCCAGGTCCCGTGTGCCACCATGAGCCTGGAGGGGTAGAGCTGTGCAGCAGCAGGACCCATTCCAGCAGTGCCACCCTGGAACCCCTCAGAAGGATACAAAGCAGACCCATTCTCTCCCCAGCCAGCATGGCTGCATCCTGCTGACCAGCAGAGGTTCAGAGGCATCCCCTCTGCAGATACTGCTGCATTGTCTATGCAGTGACAGAAAGAAGGAGAAAATGATCAGGAATGGCCACACTTGACTGAAAAGATGACAATGGGTTTTCAATAGGTAAGAGCAAAACCCATCTAAATTCCCACTGTGAGGAGGCAGGAAGGATGTACACTTCCCAAATGTGTCACAGCACCAGCCCCACAGCTTATGAACAGGTTGTAGGGCTCATTCTTCCCAACCCCATGAGAAGTCTGTCATATGTACATGGCAGGAAGACTCTGAAGCCCTCAGGAAGGTAGAGAGCTTGGAAATTGAGCTCCACTGAGGTCCAGTCTTAGAATCAGAGATGTGGAGCTGGAAATCAGGGTCTCCCCACCTGATAGGGCACAGAGACAGAGGGAAGGTCTGGAATTTGCTCTTTGTCTCATCTAGAGGTTTGATAGCACTCAGCCCGAGTCCTGGTGGCTGAAGGTCTTCACCACGATTGCCAAATCAGGGTAGGTGGAGATAAGGCCTGAGAAGTGCAGAATCAGACACAAGAGCCAGATGCACAGAAGCTTAGAGTACATCTGAGCACTGAGAATTCTGGTCTACCAGAGGCCAGCATGGGAGGGACGTTCTACCCTTGCCCTTATGTGGACTCTCCCTTAGCTTGGGATGCTTCTTTATCTCCTCCATAGCTCAGCTCAGATATCTACAAAGGACATATTCATGACTTAAGTAAGTCAAAGGAAATTTCACCTTTAGGCCTTGGCATGCTCATCTCCAAAGGGAGCACGGGACCTGATGGCATCAACTTGGATGGACCGCATGGTGCCGACAGGTCACCAGGTGTCATAGAACATGTGATAGATGACCTACACCCTCTCACTGCCTCCACTGTCCTCTCTGCATAGCTGACCCAGCCCAAGGCCCTGATGGTCCACAGACATGGGAACCTCTCTGTGGTGCTCTGGCAGGAGTTTGTGCTGGTGGGGTTCAGGGGAGGTGTGGAGACCCAGGCCCTACTCTTTGCTCTGTTCCTGGTCTTGTACATTATTACTGTGCTGGGCAACCTCACCATGATCGTCGTCATCACCCTGGATGCCCGCCTGCACTCCCCTATGTACTTCTTCCTCAAAAACCTGTCCTTCCTGGACCTCTGCTACTCATCTGTCATTGCCCCAAATGCCCTGGTCAACTTCTTCTCTGCCACCAAAGTCATCAGTTTTGGAGGTTGTGCAACCCAGTTCTTCTTCTTCTCTTTGCTGGTTACCACTGAGGGCTTTCTATTGGCAGTGATGGCCTATG